AGAAGAAGAAGAAGAAGAAGAAGAAGAAGAAGAAGAAGAAGAAGAAGAAGAAGAAGAAGAGATTGGATTTATACCCCGCCCTTCACTTGGAGTCTCAGAGCGGCTTACAAACTCCTTTCCCTTCCCCTCCCCACAACAGACACCCTGTGAGGTGGGTGGGGCTGAGAGAACTCTGACACAAACTGCTCTTTTTCAAGGACAGCTGTGCCAGAGCTTGTGACTGACCCAAGGTCACATCAGCAGGTGCAAGTGGAGGAGTGGGGAATCAAACCAGGTTCTCCCAGTCTGCACACTTAACCACTACACCAAACTGGCAAGGGGGAATCATGGGACCCACATGGAGAAAAGCTACTTATGGCAATACAGTGTAGTGGTTAGAGTGCCAGAATAGAACCTGGGAGATTCGGGTTTAAATCCTCAGTTTGTTATATTCATCATATTTCATTTCATTTATACCCCATATTTCTCCCCAGTGGGGACTCGAGGTGGCTCGCATCATTCTCCTCTCCTCCATTTTATCCTCACAGGAACCCTGTGAGGTAGGTGAGGCTGAGAGAGCGTGACAGGCCCAAGGTCACCCACCAAGAGTCCATGGAACGAGTGGGGATTCGAACCTGGGTCTCCCGGATCCTAGTCCGACACGCTAAACCACTACACTATGCTGACTTGCTGAGTCACTTTCAGCCAGTTAGTTCTCTTTCTCTGATCTACCTGATCAGCGTTCTCGTGAGGATAAAATAAGGAAATGAGAGCCATGCATGGCGTGCTGACATCATCAGAGGAAATGCGAGATGAGAAACCCGTTAGGAAGTCAGACAGACAGACACGGGAGGGCTGCAAAGAGGAGTGACCGCGACTGAGGGAAAGGGGCATGGTTTAGTGGCAAAGCACCTGCTCTGTATGTAGAAGGGCCCAGGTTCCATCCCTGGCATCTGCAGCTAACCGGATGGGAAAGCTCAACCTGAAATCCCAGGGAGCCATTGCCATTCAGAGTAGAAAATGCAGACACATGAGCCTTATACTGAATCAGATCCTTGGTCCAGCAAGGTCAGGGTCACCTACTCGGACCAGCAGTGGCTGTCCAGGGCCACAGTCTTTCATGTCACCTGCTAGCTGATCCTTTTTACCTGGGGATGCTGGGGATTGAACGTGGGACCTTCTGCATTCCAAGCAAGTGCTCTGCCCTTAGGTAGATAAACGGTCTCACCGAGTAGGAAGCGGTTTCATGTGTTCAGGACAGGAACTGGGCAAGACTGAATGCAAAAGCTGTTAGGAAGAAACCATCCCAGTAACAGTAATAACCATCAAGTGCCACATGGTAATCCCATTAAATGCCCACAGAAGCTCTTCACGGGTTTATAGTCATCCCATGTACTTTAAGCCAAGGGCCTCAAAGCTTATTCTAGTGGGTGGATTGCACTCTCTCCCAAATCGGGAAATTGTGACCCAAATGCAAAATCCAGCTCTCCTGAGTACAGAATGCTGACAAACTGGTGTACTAGGGAAAATGACAGCAAGAACATGAAGATCACTCGGTAGACCCTCTCAAACCCAACGCCAGGAGACAATACCAAGGAAAGGCCCTTGGTCTCTACGCCCTGTTTGTTGGCCCTTCTAGGGAAACGAAGGAGGAGGAGTTAGTTTTATACCCTGCTCTTCAGTACCCAAAGGAGCCTCGGAGCAGCTTACAATCTCCTTCCCTTCTTCTCCCCACAACAGACACCCCGTGAGGCAGGTGGGGCTGAGAGAGTTCTGAGAGCCCTGTGACTGACCTAAGGTCACCCAGCTGGCTTCCTCTGGAGGAGTAGGGAATCAAACCCAGTTCTCCAGATTAGAGTCCGCCACTCTCACTAATTCAGCTTAGAGGGAACACTGGTCATGTTTGTTTTGTGTATTTGGTCCTATATAACGTGGACTGTATGGCATTCTACCCCACTGAAGCCCCTCCCCTCCCCCAAACCACTCCCTCCCCAGGCTCCACCCCCCAAATCTCCATGTATTTCCCACCCCAGAGCTGGCCACTCTGGCTGTAACGCATAGAGACTGGATGTCAAAGAGAATGAACATCTCAACGTAGCCCTGTGATTTAGTGGTTAACACATTGCTTGGGAACAGGTAAAGAAACCCTTCATTTCCACACATCTGCTTGAAAAGGAATGCTTCCCTTACAGATAACAGTTCACCTGTAACACTGCCACTGTCAAAAATCTGCATGAGAGGCAGGATCCGATGCGAGTGACCAACAGAAGGATCCCTGTTGCAAATCAATGACTCCAGAACTGTTCTTTGTACACCTGGAAATGAAGAATTACCAAAGGTCCGGTCCAACATGGTATCCTCAGTTGCGTGTACGGTGGTCTGTAAGAGCCTCCGAGGAAATTGATCATGATTCCAAAAGCCATTAACAGGATACCAATAAGTATCTGAGTGATCTGTTAAGAGGGTAATAAACACAGTGTCACGGTCGCATCAACAGTCCATACCCTGGCTTACCAATGGGTGCTTCAAACAGGTGGACTACATTATTTGGGGATGCTTTTTGAGACTTTTATGCATGAAGTCCGGCTCCCATCTTTGACTGGCTGCAGGTGAACAAGTCTGGAAAGCAGTGCATGCCCTGGAAAGGGCTGAGAGAGGCCTCATTCGTTTAGTCCAAGAAATGACCCACACCTGTCTCTGCAGTGGGTAAGTGTGGGGATTCTGAGATTCAAGATTGATGTTCATTTTGCAAACACAAGAGCCACATTAGTAAAAGAAAAATATCTTTACTACAAAACAAAATAAAGCATGGGTATGGTACTTTGGATAAAAGAAATAAAATGAAAAGGTTACATACTTGCAGTTACTTTCAGTACTAAATGCTAACAGCTACATCTTTCTAACTATGTTGGCTTCTAGAGGGGAGCTTCCAGTCCGCTTCACACAAAGAGCCATAAACCTTGTGAATACATTAATGCTAGATCAAAGCATTTCCACAAGCAAGTTGTTAGTTGACCAATACAAAGGTTACAGGTCACTTCATTAGGCTAAACAACTCCCACAAACTTTCCCGCCGTAGAATACATTATGTAACGTAACATCCGGTTTCCTAACAAACAACACTTAAGTCTGTAATGACTGAAGTGTAAGCAACTTGAAACTCCAACAGTAAGAGCTGAACGAAAGGGCATCCATGATTCATAAGCTTGCCACCTCCAGAGTGGGAAATTCCTGGAGATCTGGGGACAGAGCCTGGGGAGGGACGGGTTCAGAGAAGGGGGGAGGGACCTCAGCAGGGTGTAACGCCACAGAGTCCACCCTCCAAAGCAGCCCTTTTCTCCAAGGGAATTTCTGTAGTCTGGAGATCAGTTGCGATTCCAGGAGACTGCCAGACCCCAACTGGAGGTTTGCAACCCTATCCATGAAAAAAACAATCAGGAATTCTGAATCTATGACAAGTATTGATCTGACAAAGCAAAAAGTGGAAGCGCCTTTGGCTTTCTCCTCTGCTGTTGGTTTAAACTCCGTGGCAGCGGTAGTGGTTCCACAGCTCACGGGCAGCCACATTTGCAAGGACCGTCCCCAGAAAGAACCAGATGGATTTCCATCCCTGGCATGAGGCCTGTGCACAGGAGCAGAGCTCCAGCAGTAAGGAGCCCAGGGGGCAGGCACATGCAACAAGCCCTGCCCCCTGCAGCCCTCAGTTGGGCCACAAGGAGCAAGAAGCAGCTAGGTATATTGCAGAACCCCCACCCACCCACCTTCAGGTACAAGCTCTCCCTCCTCTGTGAGGGCAGATCTGCACGTTCCCCCCCCCCATAGCTAGCAATCCAAAACAGTCCAGTGGCACCTTTAAGACCAAGTTTTATTCAGGCACAAGCTCTCCCTCCTCTGCGAGGACAGATCTGCATGTCCCCCTCCCCCAATAGCTAGCAATCCAAAACAGTTCAGTGGAGACTAAGTGGTGGGTGTTGCCTTCTGACACACTTCTGGTGATGTCAGGGGGTGTGGGATATGCAAATAAGTTAAGCTAATGAGCTCCTGCACCTCTTTTTCTACGAAATGACCCCTGGTGAGAACCCACTGCCAACCACAAGCCCCACCCGTCAAGGGCTTCACCCACATTCCTGAAACATGGGGCGGGTGCCACATTGGCGAACGGTGCTCAGGAGATCCACATGTGGCATGCTGAAGAGCTATGTGTGGCTCCCAAACCACTGAGAGAGTCTCGTCACTCTATAGTTTCACGAAGCAGGGAGGCTTTGCCCTGGGCTCCGCTGAGGGATGAACTAAAATAATGTCTTGTGTTTCCACAGGAGGAGGAGGAGGAGAAGGAGAAGAAAGAGCAGAAGCAGGGCCATAGCCAGAAGTGGGGCACATGGGGCACTGCCCCCTATCAATTCTGCTGTGTCCCTCACCCCAATCTCCCCCTTTAGATTAAATTAATTGCGAATTTCACTATTTCTTCAACTGCAACGTGCTGCGGCGCCTCCATACCATCCTGACCATGTCTGGTCGATTCCTTCCTCCCTCAGAAGGCTTCTTGTTGGGTTAGCTTGTAGCTGCACTCCTTAAATCCAGAGGACGTAGCTGCCTTTAATTCCATAGGTGTTGACCCAGGGCCCATGGCACAGTTATGGGTTCCACAGCAGGAAGGAGGGGCCGGGAACCCAGGGCTGTGCAAGGCAGTGGCCCATGTGCAGAGTGACTGTGTGGCTCTGCGCCGTCAAGGTGCCGCACTCCTTAGCAGAAACTTGCTGGGACTTTTCGTCATGCCCTTTGGTGGCGCTGGCCAACTGTCTGGCTGGCGGGACAGCCGCACTTTCTTTGCGCTCTCTTGCTGTTGTTTGAACAAAGCTCTTTCAAGCTGGCCGGAGAATTTAGACTCCTGAGGAATTTCGCTTCAAAAGGATCCCGTAGTTTCAGGGGTGGGCTGTAATTATTCCCCCCTTCTCTCTCTCTCACTTTCACTGGCTCCCATCAGCACAGAAAGGGGGGGGACAAAAAAAAAAAATGCCGAGCCAGGAAAGGAGAAGCATCGCTTCCAAGGTGCCTTCGAGGCAGGATGCCCACTCAGAAACACTTGAGGAGAGAAATTAGCTGGTCAGCCCAGCTAATTTAATTAAGGTAAAGGTAAAGGTTCCCTTGCTCGAAAGCCAGTCGAGTCTGACTCTAGGGTTATGGTGCTCATCTCCGTTTCAAAGCCGAAGAGCCAGCACTGTCCGAAGACGTTTCCGTGGTCATGTGGCCGGCATGACTAAACACCAAGCCGCACGGAACGCTGTTACCTTCCCACCAAAGTGGTACCTATTTATCTACTTGCAATTTCTTGCTTTCGAACTGCTAGGTTGGGAGGAGCTGGAACTAGAGATGGGAGCTCACTCCATCATGTGGCAACTCGGATCTTGAACTGCTGAACTACCGACCTTCCACAGCCTGCAGTTCAGCGTCTTAACCACTTGAGCCACCGCAGCTCCAATTAGCTCAGTTTAAATTAATTTCGTTTACATTTATTGGTTTTAATTAGTGCCCTGGCACCTCCTACCAAGAAAATTCCTGGCTATGGGGCTGAGCAGAAGGAAAGGGAGAAGAAAGAGAAGGAGGAGGAGGAAGAGAGAAGAGGAGGAGAGAAGAAGGAAGAGAAGCAGGAAGAGAAGATCAAGGAGAAGGGGAAGTGGGCCCTGCTCCCTGTGGCCAAAGACTGCTTTGATTCACCTCTACCTAAAAGCCATTATGGGTTCTGGCCCCATGTCTCACTAGATCTGCGGTGGACTCCATTCCAGGCCCTTCCAAAATATTTGAACATCTGGTTCATGACAGCTGCACAAAACTGGCAATCTGCCTCTCTTGTTCCGGCACACTTCCAAAGCCACTGGCAGCTGAGCCTGTCAAGGGGAGACCAGTAGCGATGTGCAAGCTGCCCACTCTTATCACCCACTAGCAGCCACCCAGTATGATCAATCCTGTTTGAGGACACCCCCAGATTCCCCAGCGCTCAGTCTGAAAACCACAGAAAAACCAGATCACATGGAAATGAATTCAAAAGGGCGCGAGGTAAGTCTTAGATCGCCAGCATCGATCCCGTTTCCCCTGAGCCGTGTACTCACCCCCAGGGCCAACGGCTCCCCCTTATAAAATCTCTTCAGCGGACCTGACTTGGAAGGCCTCATTCCAGCATCAGCCAAGAGCTGTGGTTGCTGAGGTCCAGTCTGAGTGGGGAGAATCCCTCCAGAGCTCTCAGGATCCATGGCGGGCAGGGGAGGGGACAGTGTCTGCAAGATCAAAGGACAGCCACTGTTAGAAGGGGAGAGGCGGGAAAGGCAAATGAAGAGAAATAAAAGGGAAGGTTTGTCACTACCCAGTGCTTAGATCCCAGGTGAGGAAAAGCAGAGGATGTGTGGATTAGGGTTCTTCTTCAGGACTGTTGGTTCCAGACCCTGTGTGGCTTTAATGGTCAATACCAGCACCTTTAACTCGAGCCCAGAAGCCTTCTTGGTCATGGCCCCGACCTAGCGGAACTCTCTGCCAAACAACATCAGGGCCCTGCAGGAACTGATGCAATTCCACAGGGCCCTGTAAGGCAGAGATGTTCTGCCGGGCTTTTCGTTGAGAGCAGCAAGAATAGGAAACGTCCACAAGGGCAGCCTTTCTCCTGGACCATAACACTGTCTTGATGAAAGAAGCACTTGGCGCCCTGACCCGGATAGCCCAGGCAAGCCCGATCTCACCAGATTTCAGAAGCTAAGCAGGGCCAACCCTGGCAAGTACTTAGATGGGAGACCTCTGGAGAATCCCAGGGCCAGGAGGCCAGAGGCAGGCGATCAAGCCACTTCTCTGAATGGCCTCCATGCCCCAGTAGGAGTCGCCAGAGGTCGCCATGACTTCCAGGCATGGACACAGGCATGTACATGCACACGCATGCACACAAATGCAAAAATACCCCCCAAAAGAGGCACTTGGCAATATTTTGTGGAACTCTTAAGTTTGCAGATCTGGTGTTGACAAGTGTGAGGGTCCCTCTGCCGCCCGGAAGAGCCTTCCCACTTCTGTTCCTTTAGGTGCAAGCTTAGAAAGAAACTACTGATTTCGGATTTAATTCAGAAATTTTACTTTCCCCCAGGGCCGGCTCGCTCATTAGGTGTTCGCCTAGAACGGGCCGGCCCTTAGGGGTGCAAAACTGCACCCGCCCCCCCACCAAAAGCCCCGCCCCCCAAAAGCCCTGCATTCCCGCAGCCGGGGAAGCTCTTTTGCGGAACCCGGCGCAAGGGGGGGTGTGTGTGCCAGAAGGGATCCTCGCCTAGGGTGCAAAATAAGCTGGGGCCTGCCCTGCTTCCCCCATTAACAACCCGGACACACACACACATAATGTATATACTATATAATATATTATATATTACATTAATATATCATATATAATATATACACATATTATATATAATATACACACACACAAATATATGTGTGTGTCTCTGTGTGTATAATTTTACTTCCTTTGTACCCCACCATTCTCCCCAATGGCGACCCAAAGTGCCTGACATCATTCTCCATTTTATTCCCACAACAACAACCCAGTGAGGTAGGTTAGGCTAAGTGTGACTGGCCCAAGGTCACCCAGCAGTCTTCTATACCCCAGTGGGGATTATTCGAACCTGGGTCCAACACTCTCCCTGCTAGAACGCCACCCTGTACCACTCGCATTCCTAGGTCTTTGACTGGGCCAAGATCCTCCCCCACTCTAAAACATCTGCAAGTGGGGACCCAGCAGCCATTCACATCTGTGTAGCCCCCAGACCAAGGCTTGCCGGTCCCCGCTGGCCACCGGTGGGGGATGGGAGGTCATAGCGTTGCCAGATCCAGGTTGGGAAACTCCCGGAGGTATGGGGATGAAGCCTGAGGAGGACAAGGACCTCAGAGGGGGAGACAATGCCACAGAGCCCGGCCCGCAGGCCCGTAGCTAACATGGGGCCCACGGGGCCCGGCCCCCTTGTGTTTCTTCTGGGCCCCCTCCCTTCGGGGCTGCCCCCAAAGTGCTCTAACTTACCACCTGCACTGTACTTCCATTTAATTAGCTGGCGGGCCCCCCCAAGGCCCCCT